ATATCCATACACTAATGCGTATTCCACAAACATATCAATTGATTAAAATTCCCCCTTCGTCTAGAAATCTAGCTGTGATCACCATAAGATTGGTTTATTTTTTAAAAATGGCACAATTGTTAAATCATTGTGTTCCCACGGGATTTGTAGCAAGTGTCTAAAACAAATAAGAAGTCAATTTGAACTGAGAAGGAACATAAAGTTAATGTGCTAATTGTAATTTGCTTTTATGTTTACATACATAATCCCCTGCCCCCGTGAATCCGGTACCGGACCAAGAACAACCGTTTCTGGCCTGAGTGTTCCTTCCTAGGTAAGATTAGACCCGCCCGGGTAAACCTTACCAGGTATACCCTGTTACGGTGCCACCCTTTTCATGAACTAGAACCAGATGGCCAGATGGGGTCAACCCTCATCCTCATACTCTCAAGGGCAAGAAGGTCCAAGAAAGGGGTCCTAGCAGGTGCATGACTTGCAGGAAGCGTGTTGGGTTAGCGGGGGTTTGAATGCCGGTGCGGGAATGTCTTCTGTGGGGCCCATCGCTACTCGGACAAGCTCAGGATGCTATAGCCCGGGCTAACCCTGTTGTGAAGGCCGGAAAGCTCGACAAAATCCAAGGAGGCTGGTGTTTTTACTGTGCTTAAACAACTGCAAAATCTGTTATCAAATCAATTATGTGACATTTTGTCATAATTATTCTAAGGTTTGGTCTCTGGTGCTTTGTTGGTCTCTGTTTGCTTGGGCACTTTGTGATTTCTTTTTCTTTGTTTTAATGTAGTTGCTCCTTAAATTAATTATTAGTAAGTGCAGTTTCTTTATCCTTAAATTAATTATTAAGGTATTTTGTTGTGTGAGAAATTGTTTAGTTTGAATCTGCCTTAATCCACCTGAATTTCATGACCCATATTGAACCGATTTTAGAGTCCGGAACAAGAGCTGTTGTGATCGGTAGTAGACTAGTAGGCGATTCTCTTGTACAAAACGTAAGCTAAAAGACTGTTATTTTCCTTATGACAGAAAATTGAAAATACTCGGGAGAATTGTCAATATTTTCCAGAGGAAGTAATGATTTCTTATTGAATTTTGGGAAGTAAAACATAATAAAGCAAATTTTCAAAGTTTAAGGATGGTAATAGCGTTGCTACTTTAGTGTTCCTCATAATTTGGGTGAACCTAACCTACTACCTAGAGCCTACCTTGTTGATGTTCTAAAAGTCTTGAATATGTCAACTTTCTACACTACTTTGTTGAAGGGTAGAACTAGGGTTGGACCGGACCCGCGTCGGGCCAGGCCTCGAGTCCAGGCCAGGCCCGGGTCAGGATTGGGCGGGACAAGGGATTTGGGCTAAAGGCCCGGTATCGGCCCAGGTTTGAACCGGGACCGGGCCGAGTCCGGGTCGGGTCAATGTTTGCTTCTAAAATTTAGTATTTTCTAATTTATTCCTACTGACGTGCATTTTGTCACGGTGCGTCAAAATAAATCGATACTACCACTTATACGTAGTATATGTGAAGTAGAGTTCGTATCCACAGGGAAAGGAATAATTCTCTTTTTATAAAACTATGTAAATAAAGTGGGCGATTTGGATTGAATGATTTAATTAAATTAAATACTAAGATTAACTACTTATATGAGATTTAATTCAAAGATAAAAAGGACTTGGCATTGCTACTTTCCACTTGTTGATATATTTTAGTCGATCATTGTTATATCTATAATTTATCCCCTCTCGAATACTCAATCGAGGAGTATATCCAATTCATCAAGGGTAGTTATTAACAACGACCGTTCATTAATAACCCTTACTATTAATCAAATATAGAACAACGTCTTATACCGATTTAACAGTAGTATTTAATCTTTCTAACTCCTTGATGAAATCAGTTGAGATTGATAACCTCAACACAACGGTTTCGGTTTAACCAACAAAATTAATCCCTCTTAAGTTTATCAACCACGACCGTGCATTAATAAATCGAAGTTACTTACTTGTGAAACCATCAACGATTAATCATCGGTTCGTCGATCGTTTCTAGTAATAATTAATATATGAAACAAAACTAGTTGATCCTTTAAGTAATGTTTAAAATATTAATATGAAATATGAATATGAATTAATTAATATTCAAGGAAGAATATTATTAAAGGAGATGAATCCTACTATAATTAATATCAAGATGTTAACTAATTGTCATCTTAGCAACACTCCCCAACATTAATATAGAGGAAGAAAATACTATTCTAACTAATGTCGAGATGTTAACTAATTGTCATCTTAGCAACACTCCCCAACATTAATATAGAGATAGTATTAAGGAAATAACTATTAATTAATATTCAAGGAAAGACGTTAAGAAAATAACTCACAACTTCAATAATCAACAAGCTTCAAGAGCAACACCAAGAATATAAGTTTAGCTCCTCATTTGGAGACTAAACATGAAGAAAATATAAAGAAAGAACTATTCTAGACTGAGCTTAGAAGTATATGTGAATTGGTTATTTTTATTGTGAAGGAAAGAAGGTGTATTTATAGGCTTTTTGGGATGCAGCTCGGGTACCCGATCGGGTACATACACGGTACCCGACCGGATATGTGTAATACTTCAGATTCGAGGTATACTCGATCGATTAAGGAGTCAATTCTATAAGCATACCCGATCAATTATATTCTTGCACCCGATCGAGTATGCCTAAAACCTTAGATCCGAGGTATACTCGATCGATTTCAAGTTTAATTAAGAAGGGATACCCGATCGGGTGTGTAGGTGTACCTGATCGGGTATAGACACTCGATCGTGGTCAAAATCTTTCCTGCATGTTCCTTTGTCTTCGGATTCGATCCGATTTGAAATTTCAACAAGATACGCGATCGAGTATAGGTCATACCCGACCGGGTATAGACCAAAAAATCAGGATCTTCCTTTTGTCTTGTGATTTTGCACCTTCCTTCCATTTTTGGGGTTCACCAAGTGTTCTTTGAGTGATCAAGATCTGTTTGAGCTCAGAATAAACATAATCTAAATAATTTACAAGTATTTAACAAACCAAACTATTACATCAAAAGTGTGTAATTTCCAAAGTAAAAATCAATCAAAACTAATTAAAAACACAAACATACATATGGAAATTTCAAACGTATCACTTATCCCCACCCCAAACCCCGCCAAAATATCCAACCCAAACCCACCTAACAACGGCCCAATGCAAAAAAAACTAAAATCTTTTTTTGGCCAGGACATATCCACTAAAATTAAGTCCCGAGGCGCACCTCATGTGACCTCATTTCGGGCCCCATAGCCCCAGTCTATCCCTAGGTAGAACTATATTGGGTTCTTGTTTGGGTTTCGGCCTTGGGGTCAATTCCTAACTCATTCGCAAAAAAAAAACCATCTCAATTCTAAGTTAGTGTTTTTACATCGATAAGAGTGTCAAACTAATCCTTACACAGTCACACTTTCTATAGAGTCATTTAAATTAGGGAAAATAACTTTGAATAATACCATCACTTATAAACCAATAATAATACATACTTTGAAAATGATTTTTAATAATACCAACTATTTGAGTATAAACCAAAAATAATATAAAGTCACTTTTCGATAAGAAATTCAGTCATTTAAGACATTAAAAATTAATAGAATATTATCAAATAAATGATACGTGAAAATACAATCACTTATTTGATATTTTAATACTAATTTTTGATGAATTAAATAATTGAGTTTTCATTGAAAATTTGCTTTATATCACTTTTGATCAATATTTAAATAGTTGGTATTATAAAAAGTAATTTACGAAGTACGTATTATTCTTGGTTCATGGAAGATAGTTTGTAGGGATGCTCTTCGGTTTAAATTATTGTAAATTATCATTTAAACTATTTTTTATATAATCTTTTCTTTATTTTATTGTTACCCCTAAAAAATATTTTAAATATAATTTTTTCCCATAAATAGTTCATTTGATTACTTTTATATTTTAGCTTATAAACATTATCTTTTAATATCTTAAATAAGTTATATTGAATTATGTAATAATCAAAATATTTAAGATTAATGTTAAATAAATTAGTTTAATTTGACAATGAAAATTATCACATTTTCACATTATTTTTCAGTAATTCATTTCATGTACCCAATTTCAACGTTATTAAACTGATTATAAACATATGAGGTTCCATTGTTTAACGTGATACGAGCGTTCAAAGTTTGACACTTCTTTCATCCTAAAATTTTGTGTTCTACGCCGTGACGCATTTGTTAGAAAGGTGATTGAGGGATTGTTTACTTTTTTCCTCTTAAGTGTTCTATCTGGATTAAAACGTTTGTGTAAACTAAGTAGTATTACTATATGAGCTTGTTTACTTCCTGGTTGAATAGACGACCTAAATTGAGTAAGTAATCAACTCCGTATTATTCTTGAACTGTTAAGTCAATAAGAAATTTCATTTGTTAATATAAATCTATTTCATAATTTATTTAAAAAATTAACAGAAATGACGACTTAATAGACATCTTAATGGGAATGAGTACTATATTTCGGTTTAACAATTAAGTCAGATTTATAACTGAATGATTAAGTTGTGCTTTCAATTAAGTCATAAGTAAACATGACTTAACGGTTGAACGATTAGGTCAATCTTCTCTGTAAATCCATTAAGTCAAAAGTAAACAACCCATTAATGAGATCTTGTACCATATCTCCTTTTGGGAAGTATTTGTGGTTTTTTCTATTTCTACTTTGAAAAATTTTGAGTTTGAATTTTAATTGTTTTCTACTTATTTATTCATTTATTTATTATGAGCTCATACGCTTTACATTTTTGTTGTACTCTTTATTGTGCTACTGTTTTTCTGATTAACCTCCGCGGAAAATTGATCGCAAGTAATGTCAATTAAAAAATGCGGAAAATGATAGGAGCAACGTCAACCATGCTACACAAGTTGTAGACGTGGATCAATAGCTAGGCAGCTTAGGCTAATTGATTGAAGTGATCTTTTTGAAAGAAAATAACTTAATTATTATTGATAAGGTTAACAAGAAACATTATTAAAAAAAAGGTTAGCAAGAAACATAACAATCCAAAGTCGAAGCATTACAATCATAGCGTTCAATATTACACTAGGGTGAGACAAAGAACAAAATCGTCATACAAAAGCACTCGTGTTCAATAACCCTGCAACAATGTAGACTCGTACCGCAATGTGACTACTCATGGTACTCAAAATGGGTCCAGTTTGATCTATCACCGAAAAGGAATTATTAAACTTGGCGGTTTTTCCATCCATCGGTAAGGAGTCAAGTGCAAAAATTGTTTCGGTTTCACCAACCACCGGAATGAAAGCAATCCATTCAATGTCATTTTCCTGAATCGACGGTGGTTCAGGAGGGGGGCGATCAACCTCTATATTGATACAGAAGGAATCTTGATTCATGATTGATAAAGAAGCCAATACAAAACACTTACTAGCACACAAGAGCATTGATGGAAAATCTAACTAATTAGGTGTATGTAAATTGTAACTTGTTGAGGCAAGTTCAAATGTAACTCGTGCATAATAAGACGTAACGCACGCATAAAATGAAGTAACTTGTGCACAAGAAGATGTAACTTCACATACTATCAAATGTAACTCCAAAAGTTGCCTATAAATATAAGTATATAATTCACATATGTAAATCAGCTCATTAAGAAAAATTATTGAGAAAACCACTTATACATAAAATCTTGATGTTTGCTCATATAAACGGAGTAATGCCCTTTCCGATTGCTGAAGCAGGCAAGCAAACTAAAATGCTCTGCTCCACTCTTGCCCACTCTAATTATAGGATTCCTATTCACAACTCAAAGGTTTAAATTTTGTTGATTACTCTGTCAGCATGTTAATATAAAATCATTTCTTCAAATATTAGTGTTGTACTATGGTTCATCGATGGTTTTAGAATAATATTCAAAGTAGAACATAGATAACAGTTACTTTGAAAGTGTGGCTTATTTTAGAATCTATATCTATATATTATTAAGTCAACTAAGTGAGTCTATCCTGCCTGATTCTAAGGCACTTGTGTAAGTCCACAGAGCATTGCCTTGCCTACTCCCTGTCAAACTCTCTAACTCTGTTTAAAGTCTACAAAGCCTCCATAGCTTATTCCGCTAAACTGTCAAACGTTCTTCAATTATTTAACATGACTCTGAATTTCCTTTGCTCATCTACCACCGTGTCCGGGTTGAGCACAGTAAGTACGTGTAGTTTTGACAATATAGATAAAAGCAGCTGTATTTTTTTTACTAATGTGTTCAAAAAGACCAGTTATACATATTCTTTGAATAGGACTTCTAAATGCAAAACGAAATTTTTAGTTAGATTGTATAAGAAAACTCACATGTACAACCGGTCTATTTGAACACATTAGTAAAAAATACAGCTCCTTTTATCTATATAGTCGAAACTACACGTACTTACAGTGCTCAACCCGGACACGGTGGTAAATGAGCAAAGGAAATTTAGAGTCATGTTAAATAATCGAAGAACGTTTGAGAGTTTAGCGGAATAAGCTATGACGGCTTTTGTAGACTTTAAGTAGAGTTAGAGTGTTTGGCATGAAGTAGGCAATGCTCTGTGCACTTACACAAGTACCCTTAGAATCAGGCAGGAGAGACTCACTTAGTTGAATTAATAATATATATATATTTTAGAAATAAGCCACACTTTCAAAGTAACTGTTATCTATGTTCTAGTTTGAATATTATTCTAAAACCATTGACGAACCATAGTACAACACTAATATTTGAAGAAATGAATTTATATTAATATGTTGACAGAGTAATCAACAAAATTTAAACCTTTGAGTTGCGAATAGGAATCCTATAATTAGAGTGGGCAAGAGTGGAGCAAAGCATTTTAGTTTGCTTGCCTACTTCAGCAATCAGAAAGGGCATTACTCCGTTTATATGAGCAAACATCAAGATTTTATGCATAAGTGGTTTTCTCAATAATTTTTCCTAATGAGCTGCTTTACTGAAACTATAGAAAACCAAGAGCCAAAGATAATTGCCGAAGTAACATATCTTTCTTCTCTGGTTAAGAAAAATGCATTCTTCTCTTTCGATCTTAATATTTTTGTGTTAGAAATCTTAGCCCGAGCAAGCAGCACAAAATAATACAGAAAAATGCACAAGTTCCTCATTTGAATAATTCAATTAGTTCAGAAACATACTACGCAGCCATATTTACGCAGCTGAACAGGTCCCCTAAATTATATCTAAATGTGTATACGATAATACACAGACACAAACATATATGGCTCCTTACCTGTAATTATGGCATAGCTTAATGAAAAGAACTGGTAAGCAAGATCTAAACACTTTAAAGAAGCTGATTTAACCCTAAACCCAAAAAAGTAATTGCAAGAAAAGAAAAAAATTGCAAGAAAAGAAAAATGACTTATTTTTACTTGAAATCTTCTCTTCTAAATACTACGTATAAAACTTAAACCATACACAATAATGGTTTAAGAAGAAAAATACATAAATTTTTTTTATCATTAATCATTTTCTTAATAATCTGCTCTATAGCCAAAGAAGGATCAAAGAAAAAACATATCTTATAGCCCCAGAGTAGCAGTAATTGATAAAGAGAAAAAAACTAATTTCAAGTATTAGAGAAGTGCATTTTTCTTATATAAAGGAAGAAAGACAACAATTATTATAGAAGAGAACTAAAAGAAGTGCAATGTTCTCTTTTGATATTATCATTGTTGTATTTTGAAACCAGTCCATACAGACAACAAATTAAACATAAAAGAATTGGATTTTACACGTGAGTTTACAATGAGTCTAGTAATACACAAATCGAATATATACAAATTGAATCTTAAACATGAGCATATATACTAACCTGATAAGTGATAATCAATTAGATTGTGAGAAAGGAGCTCTGAGTGATCTTTTAGAAATTCGCAGGATTGTGTGAAGAATTCGAATTTTTGTTTCGAAGGGTTGGTTGTATTGTAATATCGTACGTCATAAATTTGGGAGATTTCGGGTTTGTAAGTGAGAATAGAGCAGAGAAGGAGATCAGCGAGCTGATGAGTTGTGAACCTCCTTCCCAAATTAATTTGCAAATTTGACTTTTCTTGGTCAAACAATTTGATTTTTTTACTTAATTAGGTTGTCAATTTTTAATCATATTCTAATTTGGAGTTTGCAACTTTGAAGAGATTTTAATGTAGTTTCTAGTAAGAATTGCAACACTTTTAGCTCAAAAGCTTAAAATAAACATTTAAATGCATTTATTTCATATGTTCTTAACAAGTGTTGAAATAATAACACAATAAAAAATTAAGAATTATTTGTCACTAAGGAAAAATAATAATTAGAATGATCCTCCAAAATAAGCTACTCCCCGACTAAATCTTCAAAAATAATACCACAACATAAAAAACTTGATATAAGTTTTCTCACTTAAAATAAATGCAGACAGTATAGGATTAAGTATAAATCCTCCACATGTATAAACCCGACTCCTGTTGGATTTATAAAAAGACTCTCTTTTTAACACATTTTTCCAACAATCTCCCACATAAATGAAAATTGATTTTCGAGACTTAAAAAGACACGAAGATAGGAAGACACGTTGTGTTCACCGAATGATCCTTGCATACGGAGAGGTAGGTTTTGTCCTTTGAACCTTCCGCTGTAAAGACACGTTTATTTACTGGCTGTCTAGTAGACTCGATGTCCTTGAACTATACTGCCGTCGTGTAAACATTGACTTATCTTTACACAAGAACCTTCCAACTTTGTTCCGTTCTCATGAGTGTGCCCGTTTTGGCCATGGGTCACCGTCTTGGTTGTGCAAGAGTTTCTAAAGAACTGAGCCTTTACAGTTCTCCTTTGAAGCGGCCCTCTTCTCTCTCACATACGTGATTCTTTCACGAGTATCCCACATACTCTTCCAATGTTATCGAGTAGATCAACATTTTAGAATCATTAAAGCAAACGTTTTGCTAACCTCGTGCGGGAGTCACTGTTTTAAACGAGGAGTGGGTATTTTCACCCCCTTATAAAGGGAAGCCTCTTTTAAGAGGTTAAGATTCCTAAAGGTAAAGGCTCTCTTTTACGCGCACGGGGGTGCCGATCAAATCCCGAAACAGAGAAGAAAAACCGCGACTCGTGTTGGATTTATTCATGTGGGAAAAAAACAATGTGTCCTCCTATCTTCGTGTCTTTTTAAGTCTTGAAAATCAATTTTCATTCAGGTGGAGGATTGTTGGAAAGGTGTCCAGATTCATGGTGTTTATACACAGGATTTTCAGGTTATTCGAAATCACATCTTGGATTTATTCTAATCGCCCTTCTCGGAGCCTGGCTCTGGGCAGCCCAGGGACCTCTCTCTGGTCTGTCGCGTTATCTCACCGGTGGATTCAGCGATGCGAACCTGTATAGTATATTCCACGAGAAAACTCTAACCTTCAAGTGCTCTGATTGAAAACTGGCAGGCTCAAACACTGCAGGGGCTCCTTAGAACGCTGTAGCCGCAGGTCTAGCTCTTTATACACGTACGGCGTTGGCGAGGACCTGAAGGGGGAGTGTAGGAATAAAATGATCATGCACAGTATATATTGGTGCGTTCATTTTGTGAATCACTTTTTTGAGAAAACGTTGTAAGAAATAATTCATTTATGCGAGATTGATTTGAATATAAATTCTAAAGAAGATACATTTAAACTACTTTGTTGTAACGATTGAATAATGAAAAGAGAACATATATGAAATAGTCTATGACATATAAATGTTGGGAACTGATTATTATAGCATTATTAAAGAGGCTCTCAATGTATTTGTTGTACTCTTCAAGGTACTCAAAAGTGTAAGATGAATTAAATATCAAAATCAACTTTCAAAACTTTTAACTTTTGATGTGAAAAAGATGTTTTAAATTTTGTTAGAATGGACTATCTTATTAGAATGCATAAACAAAGAAATAAATATTCAAATTATATACTCCGATCCACACACACAGGTTTAAACATTTTTTTACTTTATGAGTTTATCCCATTGATATATAATTCTTATAATTAGTTTAAATCATTATTCATTATAGCTACATAATATTTCCTTAGTTCGTTTTTACTTGTCCCCTATCCCTTCTTTATTTTTAAAAAATAAATTTTTGATTATTTAAAACGAGTAATTTTTCTAATTAATGTTAATTAATTAATTAATTACGAAAATAATGCTGGGAAAAAAATATTTACGGATCTACTGTTGGGTTTAACCATGGTCAGGGAAAGTCGTTCAACGGTTGGGCGACTTATAAGTCGCCCAACCGTTGGGCAACTTTCCCTTTAGATTTTTATAATATAATAATATAATAATTTAATAAGAATATTTAAATAACAGGAGTTTTTTTTTTCAAATTGGTTTTTGAATATTTAAATAATAGGAGTTATTTAAATAATAGGAGTTTTTTTCCGACTTAAATAATATAATAATCTAATAATAATATTTAAATAATCTATTGTAACCAGTTAGTTGAGGTTTTTGCTTTTATTTTGGAAATTCCGTCTTATTTAAGCTCGAGAGAACAATAATTGTGACCAACAACTACTGCAATCTAATATTCATACTTGAACACATCAAGACAACACACAAGAGTTTAGAAGAGAACATACGTAAAATGTTGTAAATTGTTCCTACAACATCTACTGTACAATAAAAACTGCAATACAAAAGGTAAACTACAAGTTCTCATGGTCATCTTGATCATCTTGGTCGAGATGTTGTTGCTCATGTCTACGCATACACCGTGGTCGTGGTTGAATAACCACTCTCTCATGCTGCGTCTGGGATGATGAAGCCGCCGCTGCACTAGACGTCGATGCCATCTCCTGAGATGGGGGCATGTGTATAAGATGGCCGTAGTCGACTCGCCCCAACACATCTGAACACAAGGAGGCAATGCCTGTCAGAGTCTGTCCATACATGTTCACATCATGAGTATCACTCACTGTGTCAGTAGCCCGCTGATGTATACGCTGCAAAGCTCGTGTCTGAAATATGAAACACAATTACAATTACATTGAAATACATATAAGTATTCAACAAATAAAATGACTTACTTTACTAATTAGTAATATACTCACCGTAAGATGCAAAGCCAAGGAGCTAGGCTGATAATGATGAGTAGGGAGTCTGAACGAAGGAGACACAAACAAATGAGTGATGTTGTAATACCATCCCATGTAGTCTCCTGAAACAGATGGGACTTAGACATCTGATCAAATGCATCCCTGTAGACACCGAGCCCAGTAGCGGATGACATGCGACTTAGACCAGCAAATAGCCATCTAACCATTCATGTAACCATTTCATTAATATGGATATTATTAATATACTTACATTCAACATACAATAACATAAATACTAACGATTGAAAACATACCGACGGCCTAGAGGGTCTTCGCCCCGTACATGATGTGGTCCCAGAAGACGTGGAGGTTGATCAGGGAGTGGGTGTCCATCAATGTCATGATATGCGACTACAATGGGACGCCCAATGTGGATATACTCCCATGACCAAATCTGGAGGAGTAGCAAAAATCCTCCAAGCTCTGTGCTCCCTCTATGGCAGTCGTGACACAACTGTCTGTAGAGATAGGCCAGCGTGGCACTACCCCAGCTGAACTGTGCTGCTACATCAAATCTCTCTAGCAATGGCAAGTGCTGCACCTGAACCTCATTTCCGCTCTTGTCAGCGAAAATGGAGGCTCCCATCATCATCAAGATATATGCTCACGCATGCTGCTAGATCATCACCTCATCAGCGTCCGGATGAAGCACCTGGAAGTGCTCCCTCAACCATGGCATCCTCAGGGATGACCCCTGAAGGTCACTCCGAAGAACGGGGCGGACACCTAACAAGCGCTCACACTCATCTACCCACTGTCGACAAGCAGTGCCTGTAACAGCTCTCCCATGAACCTGTAGCCCAGTAAGTACAGCAACATCTCCCAAGGTCACTGTCACCTCACCAACAGGGAGGTGAAATGTGTGTGTCTCCTGTCTCCAACGCTCAAGAAGAGCAGTGAGTAGCGCTCTATCGAGATGGACAGTAGCCACCAATCTGTGCAGACCATAAAAACCCGCAGCACGAACATATGCAAGTACTCTGTCGTCCACATGCATATGCGACAAACCGCGCAGGTGCTCGCGGCACCTATCCACCTGAACATCGAGGCCAAGCCACACATCCTCACTCTTGTGCGAGGCCTGCAATGTCAGGACAGAACGATCACTCGACCCAGGATCCGCTGTCACATCCATGCGTACTAACAATTAAAATCGTATTAGTTAATTTTTAATATTATACTAATTCTTTTTTTAATCATCCATTTTATTAATTTAAAAAAAAAAGAATTTTTAGTATACGCATTCAAATTTTCAATAGAAAAAAGTACAAACAAATATATCCAAAAGTCAAAATTCACAAACAACTCACATTTCAATATCAAAATACCAAAATGTAAGTCTACATTTCAATACAGGTGCTATGCTTCAAAAAGACCATAAGCTTGAAAACCAAATTCATAATCTTCATTACAACAATACAACCAACCCGACCAAACACTTCATTACAACATTACAACATCTGCTAATATATCCTACTTCCCAGCAAGACGATAACAAACAACCCGAACCACACTACATTCCAGGAGAAAGTCTCATTGCCTTTCTTTGACATCTTGAGTTCCTCTTCCATATTTTGGAGTTTTAAAAGACCAATTCCACGAACACAACACTTGATTTCAGCTTGCATCTCTAATTCTTTCATTCGGAAATTCTCTTCAACACTGGTAATCTTCTGAAGCAAGGTCTCTATTCGTCTCAGGCAAGTGCCACATTGTTCATCCTCAACCCATTCAAAGAAATTGCACTTTTGACCACTCAAGAAATGACCACACCCATAAAATATTTTCCCTCTGTTTTTGTCTGTTGTAGCAGTCCACACTGGTGCTTGGAGTCCACAGTCACACTTCTTAATTCGCCTTGTTGCATCCATCGACCAGGACTCAGCACT